AATTCTTTGCTCTACAATTATTCGACATCGTAAAATCACATATAGTACCTGAAGTCGGCTGACATAAATAACTGCTACAAATTATAAACCAATTGACAGATTACGCTCTAATTCTGTATGGAAGTTAAGTACTAATTTAACCACAAAAAGATTTTGAAATACCATAAATACACGTCATTTAAATGAAAAATTCTAGATACTTTTGAACAGAAAGTACATAGCACAAAATTACTACTGGATTTTTCTTAAAAATGTAATCAAACAATCGTTATGTTATTATCGTTATATATATGGATAGATTTGGCACTCAATGTTCTTTAACTTATATTCTTATAAAAATTTTTAAATTAAAAATAATAGGGAGTGATAAAGGTAAATAAAAAAAATTTGTTATCTCAAGTTGCTCTTTCAAATGCAATAAAATAATTAAAATAGCAATTTTGAGACTGCACACAGTATTAATAAACGAAATAATATGAAATAATAAAATTATAAAAATTTATTCTAATAAAAACCCTGTCTAATACATAAAACACATGTCAAACGTTTCGGCCCTGTATTTGACCCTCATCAGTGGTTAAAAGTATGCTGCCATGCGGCCCAACACATTGCTATCTCTGCTATCTTCTGAACTGCTTGAAAATAATATACCAATTCACGTCCTCGATAACACAGTGCACCTCCTTAAGCTATAAAATTTACATGGATTAATAATAGGGAATGAATTCCCTGTAAATCAAAGCTCGGCAAAGTTTACAACTTTCTGCCGATTCTCGGGAGTTACGCCTCCTATCTCCCCTTCCCTTACCGCACGGCAGATCCAGCAATTGAGGGTCGCGGCTCGCGACCTCAGGACCGTTGAGATTATAAGGCGCATCTATCTAAAGGGTGTCCCAAAATTCACGCAAGATTTGAATTTTGCGCCATTTGTGCGATAAAGTGTTGCCAACGAAAAAAAAAAAGACAGCGTGACAGCTGACAGTTAAGGATTTTTAAACTGACCACGCACAGCGAAGAGAGTTCATTGAATGGATTATGGAACAACAACAAGTGGATGCTGATTTTTCAAACAAAATCATCATCAGCGATATGGCTCATTTTCATCTTGATGGTTTGTCGATGGTTAATCGACAAAATTGTCGCATTTAGGGTTCAGAAAATCCACGAGTGATTGTTGAGAAACAAATGCATCCACAACGTGTCACTGTTTGGTACGGATTTTGGGCTGGAGACATCATCGGACCATTCTTCTTCGAAAATGCGGCTGGTCAGGCAATAACAGTTAACGGTGCTCGTTATCGCGACATGATAATCCAGTTTTTTGTGCCTAAATTGCAAGATATGAATGTGGACGACATGTGGTTTCAACAAGACGGTGCCACATGCCATACAGCCCGAGAAACAATTCAATTACTGCATGAGTCATTTCCTGGTCGTGTAATTTCCCGTTTTGGTGATCAGATTTGGCCGCCCAAATCATGCGATTTAACGCCGTTGGACTTTTTTCTTTGGGGTTTTTTGAAGTCTAAGGTTTATGCCAACAAGCCCGCGACCACCCACGCCTTGAAGGAGGAAATTGAGCGCTGTATCAACGAAATTCAGCCACATTTATGCAAAACGGTCATGGAAAATTTCAACAAAAGAGTGCATATGTGCCAGCAAAGCCATGGAGGCCATTTACTCGATATTGCTATTTCATACCAAACCCTATACTATATACTTTATGAATCAATAAAAAATTTACAATTTTTAATTATAAACCTGTGTTTTCTATCAAAATTACTTCTTGCGTGAATTTTGGGGACACCTTTTATATGGTGCCTACTAAAGATGCGTTCGATCGGGGGAGCGCATCGATCAGCGCTAACGCGTCATTCAATCCTGTACATGTAATGAGTGATAATGATAGAATAACGTGTTAGTATTGACAACGCGCTCCTTTAACGCACCTCAAAGGCTGAAAAATAAATGTATCGATACAACTATACGTATAATATTTCGTACAAACTTGTACAAATATATACTTGTATAAGTATATATATATATATATTTTTTTCTTATATTTTTATAATTAGAAGGTAACATAATGGCCCATATTCAGAACACGCTTGTAGCCATGTCAGCGCGCTGTTAACCAATGAAAAGCCACGCAATATGCCTTCTGATTAGTTAACAGCGCACTAACATAGTTATAAGCATGTTCTGAATATGGGTCTATAGGTTTCCTCGTCACCCATGAGATACTATTGCCGACGCGTTTTCTTTTTTTATGCGTCGGCAATAGTACGTCATGGGTGACGAGGAAACCTTATGTTACCTTCTAATTATAAGAATATAAGAAAAAATATATATATATACTTATACAAGTATATATTTGTACAAGTTTGTACGAAATATTATACATATAGTTGTATCGATACATTTATTTTTCAGCCTTTGAGGTACGTTAAAGGAGCGCATTGTCAACGCTAACACGTTATTCCATCTTTATCGCTCATTACATGTATAAGGATTGAATGACGCGTTAGCGCTGATCGAACGCTGATCTTTAATAGGCACCACATAGATGCGCTTTATGATCTCAACGGTCCTGAGGTCGCGAGTCGCGAGCCGCGACCGTCAGTTGCTGGATCCGCCGCGCGGTAAGGGAAGGGGAGATAGGAGGCGTAGCTCCCGAGAAACGGCCGAAAGTTGTAAACTTTGCCGAGCTCTGCTGTAAATGAATGAATTCCATGTAATTTCTCCTCCCGATCTCTCCTGACATATGGAAGAGTATCAGGAAATGCTGTGGAAACATCCTTATAGTCTTTATGTGACAAGTTTTAATGACTAATGTGATATACTTGTGTGTTATTAACAATCGAAGAAAAAGACATTAAGTCAAAACATTTAAAATTGAACACAACGCACATAAAGCGTGGTTTTTATATTCAACATATTACTTAGTATGATGTGAATCTTAAATATTTACAAACATGACATGTAGGACCTGAATTGGTATACTTTCAATGAATTCACAAGATAGCAGAGATAGCGATGTGATGGTCCGTATGGCAGCGTACTTTTAACCACTAATGAGAGCCAGATACAGATACAGAGCCGAAACGTTTGACATGTCGTTTATGTATTAAGGTTTTTTATTGAAATAAACTTTTATAATTTATAACTTTTATGTTTATATACGTTTATTTATTATATTTATTTTTATATTTTATTATTTCACATTAATATCGTGTGACTCAAGTGATTGAGACCCAAAGATGCTATTTTAATTATTAAACAAAATTATTAAAAACAATATTTCTGGAGAATATAGGTATACTATTATAAAGAGCGTCAAATACTTTTATATAAAAACTTCCCATAATTATTTTTTCTTACGTACTATAATTTCGAAAATATTCTCCAAAAATTAAAATACTCTTTTTCTGGAGAGATGGTTTCAAATCTTGAACGTCGAAACAAGCATATGAGAAAAAATATGGATCTAATACTCTACTAGTTTATAGCACATTCAAAGATCGATAAGAAACACTCTCGATAATCAGAAAAATCTCGATTCTTAGTTTAATATGTTCTACCTGCATAAGTGGACGTGCGACACTCTATATGGAAAATAGAAGGTTTTGATGCATATCACGAAAATAATTTAATAATTTTTAATATTCTATTTAATACTAAAAACTGTTCAAACGAGTTTGTTTCTTTATTTTGCTATTCTTAACAATTAATCCTTTCGATACGGCTGTCGTTCGCGAATATGCTTCCACCGTACGGCTACTCCAGTCGCGAATAAGATTCTATTCTATGAGCCAGTTACAACGTACATTTTACTGTGGAGTGGGTACATTTGATATATTCAGTAAAATAATATAAATTACAGATAAATTGTTCATAAAGGATGAGATGCTCCAGTGTAATGTATTTTAAATTATCCAGATTTAAAAAATTGTTTAATAATATAATTTCGACGGTGGGTGACTATAGTCACCCGTAGGACACAATGAGCATACGATAATGGGTGACTATAGTCACCCGTAGTATCGAAAGGGTTAAATAATATAACGCACATGCACAATAGAGAATTAAAGTAATTAAATTAAGCAAAGAGTTCTGTTATGTTTCGCTTATACTCTAACAAGAAATAAGACAATTCCGTGTAGGCTGTATTTTAGTGACGTTACATTAGGAAAAATATATTGTTGCGTGAACCAAAATTTTGTTGTAACAACAAAATAATTTGGTTAAAATATGCCCAACAAAACTGTTTAGTTCCTGTAAACAAAACTTGTTTAGTTCCTGTAAACAAATATCTTGTTTGATTACGGTTTGTTCGTATAACGTAATACTTTTGTTATAGCAACCAAAAAGCTTTAACTGTATGGATTTTGTTAAAAATACTATAATCTTTTTTTAATATATAAAATCTAAATTTTAGTGCACAGAAAGACAAAATAGTATCCATTGGGCATTATTTCAAATTTATGTAAAATAATATTTCGTTATTATGTAATTTTTATGAATAAAATAACTAAAATACTTAATTTTTATACATGAAGTCTAAGAACAAAATCATTTGGTCCAGAGAACGAAGCAGAAAAATATATTTAGTTGGGACAACTAAATATTTTATTATATAAAACAGGATATTTGGTTGCTATTGAAAAATGCCTCAACTAAACAATTTTGTTAGAGATACTAAATTTTTTTTCCTAGTGTAACAACAGTAAACGATAAGCGTCGAGATGTTTTTATTCAAGCACTGTCCACTCACAATACAGATTCTCGCTAATCACATACTTGCAATCTTTGCAAATCAAAGGTTAACAAATTCAATTTTTAAATTTAACTTTCTTCATAGAAAGATTTTAAATTTCAATGTTAGAAAATGGTATAGTAAGCTAAAGACGTCGGAATAACTTCATATATATTATATAATTTATAAAATCCCTAACAAAACAAATGAAAAAAGTAAAAAAATTGGAAACCTTTTCCACACATTATAGGTAAAAGAATTTCTTTATTCATATGTTATTATTCTTGTGCATAATTATTAGGAAGCTTAGAAAATCATATTCCTTTCTCTGCCTTCTGATTTTTCCTCTTCTTTTTAACATAAATTTTATTCTATTATCCTCATATAGAGATACGTCGACCGTGGTGCTTACGAGTCATATTCGCTATAGCGATAGACTATCAAAGATACATTAAATACCAAACGAAGTTTTGTTAAACACACATACATACATATTCATACACGCGCGCGCGCTCTCACCCATACACAAGAGATGAAAATATAATATAAAATAAATAATATAGAGGTTATAAGAGTCCAAATTGCGAGGAAAATATTTGATGCCGATAGTTCAGATACCTTGACAGACAATATCGAGACATAATAGTCAAAAAGTGTATTGCCTGTTATACCATACTAGTATACGGTATTCTTTTTCTAACCTTTTTGCTTTTAAAATAAACGGAATTTAAGAAACAAAAATGGAACGAAGACAGCGTTACATATTTTGCCACACAATTTACAATTAAATCACAGACGGTACGCGCGCGGTACAGTAGTCCGATATAATACAATAACGATAAATAAAGAGAGAAATCGTACACAGACCGGTTATTAATAAAGTTTCTTCAAGATATAAATATTAATGCTCAAAGCATTTTACGCTTGATATTGTTTACATTTGACGCTGTTTGATACGTAATACCGGAATAGCAGATTATCTTAACCGTGCTCAGAACGCATAAAATATATACTTAGCACTCATGTGTGCATTTGAGATATTATTTTTAATATTTATATCTGAAAGAACTATATTAATATCTGCATATCAATTGATATTATGTTGTTCTCGGTATAATGTATGAGAAATACTACTTTTTTTTTTCCCAGTAAGAGTATGCGAAGAGTGTACAAATGTATGCGCGGACGCTGCGGTTTTTACTCACTCGAATAATTGATCGATTAATTGTTTGTTGATCACTTAACTAATTGTTTATCGATACTTTTTTTCCTCTTTTACCTAGCACATTTTTCTTTCTTCTTGATAATTATTAAAATGGTAAACGATCGCTGAAATGCTCTCTTTATACCTCTTTATAATTTCGCTGTTTTACTTATTTTTTTATCAGCGTTTTGTTTATTACGTATATTTGCTATTGTAATTTCGGCAATGATATGCTTGACAGAGAAAACAAAAAAGCAATGTTCAATTATTATATATATATATATATACATACACACACACACACACACACACACACACACACACACACACACACACACACACACACACACACACGCACGCACGCACACACACGCACGCACGCACGCACGCGCACATACACACACACACACACACACACACACACACACACACACACACACACACACACACGTATGTATATATATTATAATAGAGACACCGTTGAAAACAACAAGAATCAACAGAAACGAATTAATAACTACCAGTTGACTATATAGTATTCTCTTGACGATTTTGAAACAATATAGTTTCTTCAAAAATATACTGTTTCAATACTTCTTTTGGAAGATCATCTAATTCCATGTCAAACCTAAACGGTTCTTCTGCCACAGGCTAAAATAACATTAATTAATATGTTAAAAATACATTAATATAGTAATAATATAGATTAAAAATGTGTATTGTAAAAGTAATAATCGCAATCTATATTTTTCATCAAATAAAACCTCTTACCTCATCGGCAGGATCGTAATATTGTTCCAAATAGGGATGCGCAAGTGCATCTTCCACTACGATACGTTTATTGGGATTAAATGTCAGCATTTTATCTAGGAGATCCAAAGCTCTTGGATCAGCATTAGGAAAGAGACTTGTCCACGGTACTTTTGGTTTATAAGGCAAAGATTGTAGGTAATTACGTGCCTGAAATGATAATGCTTTAACGTCATTGTTATGAATACAGTATAAGTTAAAAAAACAAAGAGAATATAAACAATACAAATATATTGTACTCTAGAATGAAAATTAAAATGACATAAAAACGTGAAAGCGACTAATACTTTTTCGTTTATAATGCACTCAAGATCCTCCGAGGAAGGTGAACCAAGAACACCGAGAATATGATTCAATTGATCTAGATAATGTTTGCCGGGGAATATCGCTCGTCTTGAGAGCATTTCTGCTAAAATGCAACCAACTGACCAAATGTCAATAGACTTAGTGTAGCCCTGAGTAAAAAAAAGCATTATAACAGTACGTAAACCATTTCTCATTTTATGTAGTTCAATATTTTTGTTAGAATTAATACCTTGGAATTAAGCATAATTTCTGGAGCTCGGTACCATCTTGTTGCTACATATTCTGTGAGAAAACCTGCATGATTGTGTTCCGGGTCCGCAACTCTCGCTAAACCAAAGTCGCAGATCTTAAGGTCACAAGTGGTATTCAATAATAAATTACTTGGCTTCAAATCTCTATGTAATACATTTGCTGAGTGTATGTATTTCAACCCTCGCAATATTTGGTACAGAAAATAACATATGTGATCATTACTAATAGCCTGAAATAAAAATTTACATCTGGGCTCATTTGTTACGTTTACATGTCATTTTTTTTTCCTTAAAAAAGTTATATACGCCAGATATATATCTTAATATTATAATAAATTACATACATAATTTTTAACTTTATACATATATGCGCAAAGTTAAAATTCTACAAAATAATAGTAAATAAGACATATGAAACAGGTGATGTACATGACTAACAATTCTTGCTATAATATAATTAGTGAACGTTTTCCATTAAGAACATACTGTGTACAGTATTGTATTACAGTGTTGGGGGATAAGTGCTCAATTCGGCCAGATTTTGGAGACGACGCCTACTTTCTCTCTACTAGCATTCTTGACTTTGACGGCCGAGTCACTGATTACGCATGACAACTTTGTTTTCAAGAGCGTTCACACAATGAAAAATACACCTGGGTACTTTCCGCTGTCATCGGAATTTTGACAATAGATTTCCAAATCATTCGTGAGGTACTATTGTTGATGCGTTTTATTTTTTATAGTGATTTCCCTTATTACACCAAAAACTGATAAAGATGAAACAGCTAAAGATGATGTAGTTCGGTAGGAAAGCAAAATTTCATATCATAAGATATTACAGGGTGCCTTATAACTCACTATGAGGAATTCGTGTAGACATGAAACAGATTAAAACAAATATAAAAGTCCCATATCGTTTTGTGATATTCGTAATAGTATTGAATTATTAATGATAGAAATCCGAGGAACGGCCGCACGAAAAATGAATGATTGGAGAAGCGTTGCAGCCTCTCAGGTCATAGCGCGGTCCAGTTGATCGAGCAATTGTTGCTGGTACGCAGTAAGGGGAAAAACAACACGTTGCTATATTCATATATTATATACAGGGTATTCGAAAAGAATGGGACCGCCGCCCTATTATTTCCTGAAGTACGTACTTTTACAGAAAATGACCCGAATAAAAGTTGTAGGAGTCATGAAATATATCTTTTAATGACCTTGAAATCGACCTTGAACTTAATCTTGAGGGTCATTCTAAGGTCAACTCGAAATTTTCAAATGAAAAAATAAATTTTTTATTACACCGTCTTTTTCTACCAATTAATTTGAACAACTTTTGCCTAAAACATTTTTTTATTTGCCTAATATTTTTTTAGATATTTAAGGAAAACTTGGTAACTTTTTCAATATTTAACTTACGATATCTCCCTAACTATTTGTCGGAAGAAAAAGTGGCACTAGACTTTTTGTTCTATTTAGTTACAAAAATATATTGTTACGATAGTGTCCGGACTTTTGTTAACTTTACTGACTTTTGGAAATTTCAAAATCATCAATTAACAAAAATAGTACTTCATGACCCTTACAACTTTTATTCGGGTCATTTTCCTTGAAAGTGCGTACTTCTGGAGATAATATGGAGGTCCCATTCTTTTCGGATACCCTGTATATTCGAAAATTAGTTATTTTCTTCTTCGCTTTTTCAGTTCCTCTTGTTCGTTGTTATATAATATTGTTTGTTACGCACTAAGTACCGATTAGTGTGTATATTCGCGTTTGCGAAAAGATCTTACACCAGACTTTAGAAAGAAACTTCCCTTTGTTACTAGTTGTAAATATCTTGTAAATATCATATTCTTGAGACCAAGTAATGTAAAAAAGTCTAATAGCATTTTTACTTCCGACAAATAGTTGGCGTGATATCGTAAGTTAAATATTGAAAAAGTTTCCAAGTTTTCCTTAAATATCTAAAAAAATATTAAGCAAATAAAAAAATGTTTCAGACAAAATTTGTTCAAATTAATTGGTAGGAAAAGACGATGTAATAATAACAAAATGGGAGTTTCTGTTAAAAAAAAAAATAAAATAAATAAGTTGACCTTGACCTGACCTTGGCAACGCCACCCAAGGTCAAACTGATAAGATCAGTAAATATATCGTTTCGAGCCTTATAACTTTTGTCTGAAACACTTTTCTGTAAAACTTATATCTTTCGAGATTTTTAAGGGTTTTCATCTTTTTTCCTCACCCTGTATAAACATAGATGAGAAAATCAACGAATTCAGAATGTATAAACATAATGTATATTGATATTTTAATCAAGAAGAATATTGATATTTGCAAGAGGAAGGACTATAGGCATATCGAGTTATTTGGTTACATATACTCACAAGCAAATTGACCGCGAATTGCGCGCAAATTTGCAGCAAATTCGATCAAGAACTCATCATACCAAAACCATAGACATCTGTGTCCACATTTAACTCATGTTTTGGCAGCAAGGCCTGCTGCCAGGTAATTTGCAGCAAATTTGCAACAAAAACTGCGCAATCTTGCTGCACATAACTTAGCGCTAGGTATTATGCGCAGCGTTTGCACGGTTACCTGGCAGCAAACTCTGTTGCGTATTTAGCGCCAGTTTGGGAACAAAATTTGATAACACAGATACTGCATCAAATTTATTACCTATCTGCCATCAAAAATTGATAATAAATTTTTTTGCTTTAAATTTGCTCACGCAGGTTTGGCTATTAGGGTATTTGATTTGTACTTATATACTCAAAGATTTTGTTAAGCTGCTCTTTTTATATATTAAATCTCAACAAAGCTTTACCATTTATTTGATTAAAATTTGTTAGTTTTTCTAAGTGTTTCTAGCGTTTTTAGATATAATATGATATGATGTATAATTCGCCAAGTTATTCTAATGCCAAATTGATCGAAAAATAAGTTATAATATATCAAATGTGGCACAATAATATTAAGTAAATACTAACGCTAAGTATATAAATAAAATAATAAATGCTATGTTTATGTATTCTATTTTTTTTATTTTTATTTTTATTTTTATTCTTGGTTAGATATAATCAGTATCAAAAAGGTTACGTAGTTAAAATTGACTTCCGCCGAATGCTCAAATATAACGCAATATTGTGATATTAACTATAACAGTTAACAGTATGATTTCAACACATGTGCATTTTTTCAATTTAAATTTAAATTTAAAAATTGTGACGTGGCAATTTTGAGTCGCTCGTCACAAGAGGCAAAGAGCCTTCGGGAGGGTCGAGCAGACGTCGCGCTCGCCCGCGACCGCGAGGCGAGCTGCGCATTTTTCGTCAGATTTTTCGTCAGATTTCGTCAGATAACTGGTGATCTTGGTGATTTTTTTGCGAGAGACCGCGTACATTAGGCGTGCGAGACTTTTTTTTTGGTACTCCCGCGCTCCCCCCGATCATTTGTGTGTCCCTATCGCCGCGGGTCCGACTTCCGACCAGCAGGAGCAGCGGACAAAGGAGATCGGGCCGAGGAGGACTGGATGGAGGAACCGAGGAGCAGCCGGGACGAAGGAGAGACCTCTCAGGTGATGTCCTCGTTTGCTACAATATTTTGTGAGAAGCTTTGCCGTTTGTCACCGCGCCGATGCCGATATATTTGTCTTTTATTGTTAGCGAAGACAAACAAGAGGGCGCACAACAACAAGGAGGGGCCGATCACGCCCCGAAGACTCTCGAAAGGGAGAGAGTACAAGGAACAACATCCCAACATCGCGTGATCAAAGAAAGGAAAAAACGGAGCAAGGAGCGGAGCGCTGGGTATGATCTCCAGGGCTCGCTCGACCGTTCACACTCCATGCGAAGACGTGACTCAGGATATCGAAAGTAATTCTTGTATCGGGAAGAATACCGCCGATTATTCTTTTGGTGTATCGAGCCATCGCCCCTTATCGTTCCGTGTGTGCGCCTAAGCTAGCGAACTTAGGTTCCGCGGACGTATCGCAGCTACAGTGAGTGAGTGTCCCGTGCGAGGGCGATTGTAGAGAGAGAGAGAGAGAGAGAGAGAGAGGGGGGGGGGGAGGGATAGAGGGGAGAGAGGAGGAGGGGGAGGGAGAGAAGGGAGAGGGAGATGGAGGGAGAGGGAGGGAGGGAGAGAGGGGGAGGGAGGGAGGGAGAGGGGAGGGGGAGAGGGGGGAGGGAGGGGAGAGGGGGAGGGAGAGGGGAGAGAGAGAGGGAGAGGGAGAAGGAGAGAGGGGGAGAGAGGAGGGAGAGAGAGGGAGAGAGGGGGAGAGGGAGAAGGGAGAGGGAGAGGAGAGAGAGAGAGAGGGGGGGGAGAGGGGAGGGAGAGAGAGAGGGGGGAGAGGGGAGGGAGAAGAGAGAGAGGGGAGGGAGAGGAGAGAGAGAGAGAGAGAGGGAGAGGGAGAGGAGAGGAGAGAGAGAGGAGAGGAGAGAGAGAGAGAGAGAGAGAGAGAGAGAGAGAGAGAGAGAGAGAGAGAGAGAGAGAGAGAGAGAGAGAGAGAGAGAGAGAGAGAGAGAGAGAGAGAGAGAGAGAGAGAGAGAGAGAGAGAGAGAGAGAGGACGAGAGAGAGAGAGAGAGAGAGAGAGAGAGAGAGAGAGAGAAGAGAGAGAGAGAGAGAGAGAGAGAGAGAGAGAGAGAGAGAGAGAGAGAGAGAGAGAGGAGAGAGAGAGAGAGAGAGAGAGAGAGAGAGAGAGAGAGAGAGAGAGAGAGAGAGAGAGAGAGAGAGAGAGAGAGAGAGAGAGAGGAGAGAGAGAGAGAGAGAGAGAGAGAGAGAGAGAGAGAGAGAGAGAGAGAGAGAGAGAGAGAGAGAGAGAGAGAGAGAGAGAGAGAGAGAGAGAGAGAGAGAGAGAGAGAGAGAGAGAGAGAGAGAGAAGAGAGAGAGAGAGAGAGAGAGAGGGAGGAGGAGAAGGGAGAGAGAGAGAGAGAGAGAGAGAGGAGAGAGAGAGAGAGAGAAGAGAGAGAGAGAGAGAGAGAGAGAGAGAGAGAGAGAGAGAGAGAAGAGAGAAGAGAGAGAGAGAGAGAGAGAGAGAGAGAGAGAGAGAGAGAGAGAGAGAGAGAGAGAGAGAGAGAGAGAGAGAGAGAGAGAGAGAGAGAGAGAGAGAGAGAGAGAGAGAGAGAGAGAGAGAGAGAGAGAGAGAGAGAGAGAGAGAGAGAGAGAGAGAGAGAGAGAGAGAGCGTAAGCGAGCGGACGGACCTCGGCCGGAGCGAGAGCGGAGGAAGCGAGTAGGAGAGACGGAAGGAGCGATCGAGCGGAGGAACGCGGCGTCGACGGAGGAAGCTACCACAAGGCGCCCGTAACTGTAAGAGTACCTCTTTGCTGTAAGATTACCCTTTTGTGCCTTCGTGACCCGATTACGTGACGGGACCGATCGGCGGCTATCGGATATACGTATCTCGGAAATTGGTGTAAAACTAGCGTTTGTCGAAGCCGTCCGGTGGTCTTCCCGCAGAGCGCGGGAAAACGAACATCTCTCTCTCTCTCTCTCTCTCTCTCTCTCTCTCTCTCTCTCTCTCTCTCTCTCTCTCTCTCTCGACTACTACCGGATGTTAACCGGATGCTAGGATCGCGTTATTATAAAATAAAGAACGAGTTGTCGTCTTCGCTGTACCGTCGGGAGTCAAGCGGGTGGCGACTTGTCGTGTTAAGCGAGACACCGACTTCTGACAGGGAAATTCCGAACGTTACCGATTATCTGTAATCACTCTTGTAAAGTTTTCCGAATACATTTCCGAAATATCTCTCACCGCGCGAGTGTTATCTTTTTGATACCCTCTTTTCCCGTGAAACTCGAAAGACCCACTCCCAACTCCGACTTAAATTACCGCAGCTGTCGGTCTCATAGGCGATCGAGTCACCCCGCCGTCGTTATCAAATTCGGTAATTTGTATTAGTGGGCACGAGAATCGTGTCTGGCACCCAACTTTTCTTTTCGTGAAATTTTGGAAAGCGACGGGGTGCGACCGGTAGATCGCCGCGACCATTTGCTCGCTTCCTAGGCGATAGGAGCGGTCGCAATTAAACATTTAAATTTAAATTTTATGTTGAAGTCAAGTTACATTATAAATAGAATATAATAAATAGAAATTTCTGCACAAATAAAAAATAATATCACAATTTCTTATACAAAGATATCGATAACTACCGTGCAAGAATAAATGCACATAAGTCTTATTCCTCTAAACCATTGGATAATCCTACGTCATATCGAAAAGGCTAAGTTGTCACATGCAGTTATTCCATGCGGTTTTGTTTGAATATTTATTATCAAATATGCAAATACATGTATCTTCTTTACCTGTGTCTTCAATAATTTGTAGAGATCAGTTTCCATCAAACATTGAACGATATATACGTCTTTCATTTGCTCTATAGTAGGCGCTCTTAATATATCCCTTATATCTATTATCTGTTATAAAACAGTACAATATTAATGACGAAATAAGAGTTACAAAGAATATATTCACACGTCAACTTACATTCTCGTGTTTAAACCTCGTAAGGATTTTTATTTCTCTTAAAGTTCTCTGGCTATATGTTTGATGTTCAAATGGAGAAATTTTTTTGATAGCTACTTTTGTTTTGGTTACGTTATCATAGGCAGACCTGCAAGAAATGGCTATACAGATGTAACTTAATAGATGTACATGATGCATCTGTATTTTTATTTATTCTTTAAATACTTAAATATGTCTTAACGCTTAGCACTACAGTTAAATAATCATTTGCTTTTAATACAATAAAGTATTAACAAAGAGAGGACACGGTTAAGTATTCATAAATTTTGACAGATTTTAGCATAGTAAATATGTATAACAAAATATAAGACTTATATTCGAATTCTTATAAATATATAGTCCAATATACTTTAATATGTTTAATATATTTAATATGTTGATTTCTAAAATTTTCAGTACCCCCTTCCTCCATATAAGCCATAGTGTTCTACATAAACTTGAAACACAAGTTTCTTTTTTAAGTGTTCGTCGCACAGTTAAGCATAAAATTGATAGGTTGAAAATCCACTTAAGTTTCATTCTAATTATTACATTTTTTTCTAATTTTTAGTAGTTTTATTTGTATTATTTTTATTTTTATTGACGTTTAATTGTTTATTAGTGTTCTAGTGTTTATTAATGTATTAAGGGACCACAAAACCATTTAGGTAAAAAAATTGATTTTTCAAAAAATGTTTTTTTAATGTTTCTCCAAAAAATGTTTCCTCAAAGTTGTAGATCAAAATTTGTAAAAATGCCACAGTTGTGACGTATCTCATAAAAAAAAATAATATTAAAGTTAAGCCAAAGGTCAATAATTTCAGCAAAAATAACTATTAAAATATATCAATCAAAAATAAAAAGAAAAAGATGTATTAAATGCAATATTTTATATACAATATAAAATAACATACGAAAGTTAGCTTTCGAAAGCTAACTTTCCAAGTTTTTTTAAGTACAGAAAAAAATAAAACCAAAATCCAAAAAATTACTTACAAGGGAACTGCACGAAATGTAAATCATCGATTCAGCTGAATTTTTGTAAGTAAATAAAAAATCGAAAAATATTTGGCCTGTGTTTTGTTGTTTGCTGAGACACTTGACAGTTTTGAAATTATGCAATAATAAAGTTTAGCCTAACCTAGATGGTAAAGTACAAGTGAGTCAAATAAAGTATACAACAAAATGGGTTACCAAGAAATGATGGGGTAACCTGGTCACCCGATTAGTAAACTAAACAAGTGAAGATCTCTCGCTCCCGCGCCTGGTAAACGCCATATGCGGGAACGAGGAGGTCTGGTCGGCGGCCTCCTTCGCGGAGGACGTCATGTCCCGCAAGGAGGCCGCCGGCCGAATGGGGGTGCCGCCCTGGCATCCGTCGCAGGGAGCGATGGAGAGGGCGACGCTCCCCCGGCCTAAATAGCAGGCCTGAGGTGGCGCCGGTCGAGAAGCCGCCCCCGATTCTTCGGGGGCTGCCTCGAGCCCGCCTCCGTCCGCGGAGGGGGGACAGACCTAGGCCGGGGGCCTGCCTCCCCCTGTGGTAAGGGAGGAAGAGGGGAATGGGTGTCCCGGTTAGAGACGGGCCTCACTCCCCGCTCCCCTTGACTAACGAGGGGGGCTATGAGAGAGGATGGGTGTCCCCTCTCTCCTCCAATCGGACCAGGAGGCCAATCCGACCGGGTAACCGGTCGGAACGCCGCGCCCCCTCCTAAAGGGGGAGGGGCGCAGCACTCGGACGAGGGGCTCCCGGAAAGCCCCAGGGTCGGGGTGTCGGGGAGGGAATGCTGGCGTCGTTCCCCCGACTCCCCCTACTCCGGTCCGCCTGGCAAGCACCCCAGGGGGGTTAGCCGGTAAGAGTCCGACATAACCCCACCCTCCCTCCCAAGGGGGTGGGGTATCCATGAGGATTTTCCCCCGTAAACAAAAAAAAAGGTGAACTAAACCAGTTTGATTCTATTGTGCTGCTGTAAGATGTGATTTTTTCTTTTTCTTTTTGTATTATTTTAAATTCTATATTAATGTGAGTATACGTCGAGAAAACATATAGAAAATGTATTTTTAATTTAACCGTTTAACGCCCGACTTTTTTATAAGTGTTTCAAGAATAAAATTTGAGTTTTTTTGAACTGAGACTATAAGTAATCATAACCAAAAAAAAAATATCAGAATTTTATATTTACGAAAAACTATCTTTCCAGGCAGAAACTACTCCCAGAAGCGAAAAACACGCCTGATCAATTAAATTCTTTTTTTTAGTTTTAATAATATCTTATAGATCACCATTTAGATAGTCAATCGTCCCTTCATTTTTCGTCATAAAAAATTGTAGGTCACCAGGTTTCATGAAAATAGGTTGATTTCTTGATTTCAACATCCACCATATTGGACTATTCGCTATTTCGAATTTCTGTATTCTTTTAATTTCACATTTTGCATCTGAGAAATTATAACAGATACCAACAATCTATTCATTTATAGCACACTTCTAGATGTCAGTAACAATGCTAACTATGCCTACTTGGAATTTGACAAAACATGTTATCATTAAAACTGAGCTAAAAACAGACTAAACCGAATCTACATACAATCTATATATCATTTTTTAGAAGAAGAACTCACCTTTACCTTTAGTGGTGCAAAGGAAACGAAAATATCTCCTTTTTTCACTAGAAAGATTTTTCACTAAGATATATTCTTAAATGAGTTTCTGGTAACTATCGTTACCAGTAGGCGTTAAAGGGTCAAAATACACTACGTGTATTACGTATGCACATGTTATCGAATTATATAAGCATATACAAATTTCTTTTTATATATTTAACAAATTTTTTAATTTTTTAATATTTGGAATTTAGTGTAAATGTCGAAAAAACGTATATAGAAAGCATAATTTTAATTTAAAATATATTTATTAATGATTTGATAATACGTACGTATATACCTTGCAAGTGCATTGATAATTCTTGTTATATAACCACAAAGAATTAAAGAAGTTACATCAACATATAACATACGTACACGTATATGATACGTAAATGCATATTTATCTAACACATCTTCCATCTTATAGTATGAGAATGGCACATAAGAAATACGTAACTATATCGCTGACTGATACGTATCATTAAGTTTGAAATAATACATATTGCGTTGATAGCTGATACATAGTATACAGGGTGTCCCATTTTAATAGTGCATCTCGATTATCATTGCAGGAAGTGCTCAGATGGAAAAATGTTTTAGACAAAAGTTGTATCGTTTCGAGAGAAACATAAGATGATGCCATTAGTGTGACCTTGAATAGTTGTTTGAAGTTCAGGTGAAGGTCACCTTCAATTTCTTAAATAGAACCACCACCTACTTTTCATAACATATTCTTCTAGCTTACATCAAGAGCTTTCCAAAGTCTATAATAAAGTACCTTTTTATTAAATACTTTTTAACTTATAAGGCAAGATCGGGGCACGATCCGGCCGCTCAAAGCAAAATCGATAAACGATCCAGCCAGTCAAGGAAAAATCGGTAAACAACCCAGCCAGTCAAGACAAGATCGGTAAACGACCCACAGCCAATCGAGGCAAGATCGGTAAGCGACCCAGCCAGTCAAAGCAAGATCTGGGCTTGCGTTTAATTATTTAAGGTGTTCGAAAACCTGGTTATTTACTTGTATACATAGCTCCAGTCTATATCGAAAATCGTCCCTAACTTTTTGAAGAAAACCTGCATTAATATTTCTGCATGCTTCTCTAATACGGTCTTTCATATTTTCTACAGTCGTAGGTTGTTCCGAAAAAGCTTTGTCTTTAATGTATCCCCAGAAATAAAAATCTAAAAGCGTCAAGTCGGGTAATCTTGGAGGCCATTCTTGAATTCGGCTGCCCATACCAATCCACCTATTCGGGAATCTTTCATTTAACTGTTCTGTAACGGTTCGAGATCTATGAACCGGTGCTCCGTCTTATTGAAACCACATTCGGTGAGTACGTCATTATTGACATGTCTCAACAGGTTAAACAGGTTATGTTGAAGAAATCTTAAATAGTTTGCCGTATTGACGTTTCCTTGAAAGAAATATGGACCCACAATCACATCCCCCAAAATGTCTATCTAGACATTAATAGACCACTGCCTTTAGAACTCTCGGCTTCTTTGCCAATGTGGATTGACATCTGAATAATAATGACAGTTAGGTAAATTAATGCCCTCTCTGTTGCAGAACGTGACTTTATCAGAAAAAAAGGATATCAGCTATGAACCGGAGGTTTGCTCGGATTTGATCTTGAGCCCAGTTACAAAAACGTATACGGCGTTAGAAGTTCCTTTCTTCTAATTGTTGGGTTAGGTGGATATGTTATGGATGGAACTTATTGGCCCCGGAGCACACGATTGGCTGTTGATTTGGGTATACCGTGTCGCTTCTCAATTTGTCTCGTAGATATTTGAGGATTCAAAACAACGGCACCTACAACAACCAACGATGTGACCTCGTTAGGGCCCGATTTTCGACGTATTCGTTTAAGAATGCCCTGTTCAGCTTTGTCGCAAAGTTTCTTTATTACCCTCCTATCATCATCAGGATGGCGTCTGTCTGGGAATTTTTCAGCATAAAGCCTTCCTGCTGCCGAGTAATTATTTCTGGTCTCACCCAACGTACGAATCATATCCACAATTTCATTTTGTGGATAATCAGCCATAATTATAATAAAAGATAAAAAAACAAAACAATCATAATAAGAAAACAAAAAACTTCGCAAAAGTACAAAAAGTTTCTGTCCTAACAAGAAAAAGTTAATAGATATAATAATATGCTTTTTTACATAATGAATTCTTACATGAGTAAACTTCCATTGTTTGTTTAGATCAGAAACTGCACGACGACACTGATAACTGTCTGTAGCGTGAGCGAAATAGAAGTCCACAGAACGATACGTTTTTAACGTAAAATTTTCTCTATCGTTTTCTGGATTTTTAGGTCGTATACCGATCTTGCCTTGACCGGCCGGACCGTGCCCCGATCTTGCCTTATAAGTTAAAACGTATTTAACAAAAAGGTACTTTATTATAGGTTTTTGGACAGTTCTCGGTGTAAGCTAAAAGAATATGAAAAGT